AGACCAGAGAGAGACCAGAGAGAGACCAGAGAGAGACCAGAGAGAGACCAGAGAGAGACCAGAGAGAGACCAGAGAGGGACCAGAGAGAGACCAGAAAGAGACCAGAGAGAGACCGGAGAGAGACCAGAGAGAGACCAGAGAGGGAGGCCAGAGAGAGACCAGAGAGAGACCAGAGAGAGAGAAAAGAGAGAGAGACCAGAGAGAGACCAGAGAGGGAGGCCAGAGAGAGACCAGAGAGAGACCAGAGAGAGAGACAAGAGAGAGACCAGACAGAGACCAGAGAGAGACCAGAGAGAGACCAGAGAGATACCAGAGAGGGACCAGAGAGAGACCAGAGAGAGACCAGAGAGAGACCAGAGAGGCCAGACAGAGACCAGAGAGAGACCGGAGAGGGCCCAGAGAGAGACCAGAGAGGGAGGCCAGAGAGAGACCAGAGAGAGACCAGAGAGAGAGACAAGAGAGAGACCAGACAGAGACCAGAGAGAGACCAGAGAGAGACCAGAGAGAGACCAGAGAGCGGCCCAGAGAGAGACCAGAGAGAGACCAGAGAGAGACCAGAGAGGCCAGACAGAGACCAGAGAGAGACCGGAGAGGGACCAGAGAGAGACCAGAGAGAGACCAGAGAGAGACCAGAGAGAGACCAGAGAGGCCAGACAGAGACCAGAGAGAGACCGGAGAGGGCCCAGAGAGAGACTAGAGAGAGACCAGAGAGAGACAAGAGAGAGACCAGAGAGAGACCAGAGAGAGAGACAAGAGAGAGACCAAGGAAACTCGGCCAGTCCTCAAAATTGTTTTCTCGGATGAGATAAAAAAAACATGTTGTGGCCTGACTTCCAAATGTTAATCTTAAACAAGAGTCTTTCTGTCGGGACAAACTAAATGTAGTCCATATTCTGACCCTAGTCCCAGTTTAGGATTAAGTTTGAAATCTTGTGTTTTGTCTTCTGGGTGTGTTCTGACCAGAAATAAATCCACCCATGGTCTCTCTCTCTCTCTCTCTCTCTCTCTTTCTCTCTCTCTCTCTCTCTCTCCCGCTTTCCACGCACTGTAAAACTTCAACGTTTTTTATGGCCGAATCCTTGAAGTGTTTTCTGAGACCTGCCCAAAAAACGGTCCAGGTCCAAAGTCCGGGTCCAAAGAGTCTCTGATAAACAAAGACACACCTCACAAACACAAAAATGTCTGTCACTCATTTACCCGAAGCCAAAACCTGCGGCGGAGAAACAAAAGAAAGCAGAGGGAGGGGACGCGAGCCAATACCCTTCCTCCACGTTCACAACTTCACAGCTATCTCAGAAGATAAGCAGAGTACGGCCTGGTTAGTAAATGGATGGGAGGCTAAATCTTGGACTTGGATTTTCAATTCAATACTTTATTTCAGACACAAGAATAAAAGGTCCAGACTAGAAAGACAGACATAAAAACACACTCAAAAAGTGGTAAAAATAAATAAATAGTATCTTTAAATGATTGAGAAAAACAACTAATATTGGAACGACTTTATGCCATTGACATTTGGGGTGGGAGTATTTTACTTGTAATCTATGTATTCATATATAATGTTTACTAAAATGTTCAAGATACCACAGCATATGCTCATGCTCAAAATGAAAATTATTCAAATTCAATAAAAGATAAATAGATACTTTATTGATCCAAAATAATTAGTTGCCTTAATCCTGTTTTTAGGTTTTAAATGTATTTCCTGTATTTATTTCTTTTTAAATGTGTATTTTTGTATTCTATGTATTCATGTGTATGTAAGCATCTTGTTTTCTGCAGAAGTAGTCGTCCTCTGGCCAATAGTGCCGATCAAAATCATCCCGGTCTCTGCTCTTGGGGCCGCGGAGGTTGTCCCGGATGGAGCGGCTATCCCTGACGTCTCACTCATAAATAAATTTGTAAAGGTTTGTATGCCCTATGCTACTCAAAAGTATTTCCCTTGGAGAAATAAAGTAGTCTGAATGTGAATCACTGGAGAGCAGATAAATACGTTACAATTAGATGAGAAATACAGGTTGTGAGTATAGTTAGTAGTGTCGGTATTCTCTCATCTGCTCTCCACTATACATTCTAACCCCATTGATTTAGTTTGTCTTCTTAGTTGAGATAAAAGTATTTGATTTTTTTAGGGAATAACCCAGATTAACAGATAACTCATTCATCCTTTACATTACCTGCATGTGTCTAATATATATTATTGTAAAGCCATTGTTACATTATTAATTCAGATAAATGTATGGAACAGTACAGAGCAGTGGACTTGGATCCACCTGTCGTCTGGAGTCAACACGGTCATAAAGAAACGTGGACTTTCCCCAAAGCACAAAGGCTTCAGTGTTGAGCAAAAACTCTGCTTAAAAGTAGGAGGCAGCAGATAAAGCGGGCCGTAAAAAAAAAAGAATTCACGCATAGTTTTTGCGTTTGGAACAAAACAAAAGAGAGATAATACGCAGCATTCCTTCTCAGCTCTAAGTCCACGATGTAATTGATTTTAGAGTTCAAAGACAAGTACAAACGCCAAAACCAAACCATATTGACCCAAAAACACATGACAGCATCTAGTTTTTGTCTAAATTTGTAGGTATTAGCACTGTATTAGCATTATTAGCATTGTATTAGCATTAAAGTACAAAATACCTAATTATGGCATTTTATCTTTACTCCTTTTAATGTACTGTGATTATTTACCTTTTAGCTAGTTTTATTCATGAACTTGTCTGGTCTCATTTTGCACATCTATTCCAATGTGGTTTAACTGCAATTAGCAAACAAACTGAATCAATAGCATGCGCAAGATGAGCCCAAAAACCAACAATTACACCAGTTGTTCTTTAAATCAGATGCTAAGATATAGACAAGTATGGTGGACATCATGTGATGAGTTTGATTCCTTAGCTTACTGGTACTAAAACTAAAACAATGAATGATTAATACATCCTAAAAACTGATAACAAATAATAATAATAATAATGCATCGGTTTTATATAGCGCTTATCTGGACACTCAAAGACGCTTCACATGTCATTATTCTTTCACTCCATACACGGTGGTGATAAACTACTACTGTAGCCACAGCTGCCCTGGGGCACACTGACAGAAGCGAGGCACCCAGTATGTTCCATCGGCCCCTCCAACCACCACCAACCTTTCACACACACACCAGACTCATTCTAGGCAATGTGGGTGAAGTGTCTTGCCTAAGGACACAACGACAGCAGACAGTGGGAGTCGATGGTGAAAGTTGGGCTCGAACCCACAACCCTCTGGCTCAAAGGCCAATGCTCTACTAACTGTTGGTAGAGCATGAAATAAAATGAAAGAAGGAATAGGAAACATGAACTATATGAACTATTTCAGTAATTATCCATGTAGTACTTTCTGACTGTGTATAAACAAGATTCTCAAATGGACAAAGCCGTTTAGTCTTATTTCAAGAACTGATAATTTTACTTTTGTCCCATTGGTATATCTTGTTTTAAGGCCCAGTCAGAATGTGCTGAACTTGAAATATATTTTGCGAAATTTTAACTTTTTCATTTTTTTAAATGTTTTTTTGCAAAATTTTCTGACAGCAGAATTAAAAAAATACAAATAACATTATATGCATCATGGCTGTATCTTTCTTTCCCAAAACAAGAACCCGCACACACAGAAAATAAAAATATAAAAATAACAACCAATAATAAAATTAAAATCTTAAATGAAAACAGAAGATGAATTTAAGCAATTTCTGACTTATTTCTCATCCCTTTTTTACAGTGTAACTAAAATCTGTGATAACAAATGAAAGAATAGGCAATATGAACTAATTCTGTTTTGATCCGACATTGTACAATAAGTGATTCTGAATAGACTTCAAAGCCCTACTGCGCTCCTCCACTGTTGTTTATGTACTCTCTGTGTCTGTGTCCCGTGACAAATGCACATTCGAGACGCTGTCATCTCGACCCTAAAATATGTATAATCCCCAATGTGACTCAAATTTGCTGCTCCCCGGCTAAAACAGGCGTCCCAGAGAGTGCCATGTCTGTGCCTAATCTGGGACAAAATCATAGATATTATCAGAAGTTTGGAGAGGACAATGTGGCCGCTGTGTTTCCAGGGTTTGAAGTTGTGTCTGTGGTGGAAGTGTCAGAAAGAGAGAGAGATAAACGAGGAAACTATTAACCCGACGTGTTCAAAGGATGTTCTCACGACAGACTTTACCCGAAGGATTTAAGTGCACAGCAAAAATGTGAGGAATAAGTCAGAAATTGCTGACATTTTGCAAAAAAAAGTGTCTGAATCTGAGCACAATCTTACTGCCTTGAAACACCTTTGCCATTCTTTCTGGTTTCTCTCTAGTCTCTCTTGGGTCTCTCTCTCTGGTCTCTCGTCTCTTTCCCTAGTCTCTCTCTGATCTCTATGGTCTCTCTCTGATCTCTCTCTCTAGTCTCTCTTGGGTCTCTCTCTGGTCTGTCTCTGGTGTCTCTTGTCTATCTCTATCTCTGCTCTCTCTCTGGTTTCTCTCTCTAGTCTCCATCTCTGGTCTCCCTCTGGTCTCTCTCTCTAGTCTCAATCTCTGGTCTTTCTCTCTAGTCTCTAGTCTGGTCTCTCTCTGATTCCTCTCTCTTGTCTCTCTCTCTCTAGTCTTTCTCTGGTCACTTTCTCTTGTCTCTCTCTGGTCACTTTCTCTAGTCTCTCTCTGGTCTCTCTCTCTGGCCTCTCTCTGGTCTTTCTCAAGCCTCTCTCTTGTCTCTCTGGTCTCTCTCTCTGGTCTCTTTCTGGTCTCTCTCAGGTCTCTTTCTTGTCTCTCTCTCTGGTCTCTCTCTGGTCTCTCTCTTGTCTCTTTCTTGTTCCGCTCTCTCCTTTCTTGAACCGTGTTGTTGCTGAAACCACACAGTCTCAGACACACAACAGTAGTAATAGTTTTTCATATTTCTCTTAGTCTCAGTTCTCACTATTGAACCAGGAAGATACAGTGGAGGGCTCATGTTTGCGGCGATAACGCGACGTGATGGTGGAGGGAGAGGAAGACGGGGATGGGGAGGAAGAGGAGAGAAGGGGGAGGGGGCACGTGGGCTTGTGTTACCTCCAGGTTTGTGCTGAGGCTGCTCTCTCGCTCTCTCTGCTCACCTCAGCTCTTTCCCCTCATATCACCAACTCCACCTTACACCAGATACAACCTCTGGTGATGTCACCATCGGGGGTGGGGGGGTGGGGGGGCAGTTCGATTGATCGGTTGATGGTGCGTTTATCGACCAAAACGCATCCGAGTCAAGGAAATATTCTGTTTTTAGGTGTGGGAGATGTACCGCGGACAACAATAGCCACAGAGGGAGGGTCTTAGCTCAAAACTGGGATGTGAGTTCATGTTTAATCTGCCATTTTAAATACTAATAATAACGGCCGCTTTAAACAATAACTATTAACCAATCGCGTTCAAAGTGTGTTCTCACCACAAGCGAGATTTCAGAAGCAGGGAAACGGCTACATTCACTACTTTCAATAGAAACACTTTATAAAAATAAGTTTTAGGTGTTGGAGATTAATTGCGGACAAGAATAGACACAGAGGGAGGGTTTAAAAGTCTAAATAAATAATAATAATAACAATAATAATAAAAAGTAGCTTTGTCCAGGACTCCCTTGAATAAAATCCCAAAGGGACTTTCCTGGTTAAATAAAGGATTAATGAATAATTAAAATGCATCAGACTGATGCATTTTTTCTGTATTTGTCCTTACTCAAATACACCAAAACTAAAACATTGAAAAGAACAACACTAAATGCTTCTACAATTCTCAAGGACAACTTTCAAATATGACGTTTTAACAATATACCAACAAAAAACACCCGAAGTAGCGTAATTTTTCAAACTCGAGCTGCAAATTGAATTGTCTCTTGTACTTGTTTTGCTTCTTTTACTTCACATATTAGTCGGGTGCACACTGGGGGACTTGCACGTGTATTCCAATGTGGGTTTTACTGCAAATGGCAAATTGGCTGAGTTTGAATCTGAAGACATTTGGAGACATTGGACGCTTCTACAGGGGTGAAAGTGCTTCATAATTGATGGTGGATTTGCTCCTTCCCCCATCAGCGACATCACCACACTGCACCGTGATGAAAAGTGGACAGCGGTGACGTGGGACCGGAGAACGACCGAACGCTGGCGACCGAGGAAACAGCGGAATCTGTTGAGGAGCGAGAGGCAGGGCCGGAGTGGGTGATAAAAATACAGTTGACATTTGTCCCATGGGCCACGGAGAACAGTGACCTTCAGTGCGGCGTCGGCTCTGGGCTAACGCGGGCGGACACAAGCACAGCTGGGCCTGTCCGAAACACTCAGTGCTGACACCGGACAGATTAAAGAGCCATTTTCTTTTTCCAACGGCAAACTCAGCTCGTTTCAGGGTTTAATCATGCGTGTATCAAAGGTGAAGGATCAGGGTTGGTGCGAGGTGTAATTTTATCTATGTTGGCTTTGAATATTCCAAAGTCAACTCAATTCTTTATCAGCAAAACATTCCAAAATGGCCGTACGCTTTACTATTTCCTGTAGGACTGGAAGTGTTTTGTAAAAGGGAACTTTAGATGTGATAAATTCATACATTTTCTAAACACTGTCCTTTACAATATACACACTATACATACAGTAATAAACATATCATTAATGCTACAGTAAACAACAACAATACATCTCAACGCTTGCGTGACTGTTTTGCTTGAAAGTTATCACGGCCACAAACAAAAACTAAATTTTTTTAAACACAAAAATACACAATAAGTGAATAATGATCCACAGATGTATGAAAATAAGATACCAGTCTGTTTCCTCACTTTTAAACAATCATCTTCCCCTATCCTCATCTTCCTGCGGTCGCCACGGTAACCTCAAGGAACAAATGTTATGAAGTCATGCAGGCCCTCGAGAATTTTTACTTTGAATAGTGCCCTAAAATAAAAAATAAAAATGTTTACATTTTTTTTACTAAAGAGCAACTCAAGTGCTCCATCACCACTCAATTAAGATAAATTCATTCTTGAAGAGGCACCCTGATACTTTAGTTTGACAGCAGAGAACAGCTCTGTCCATGTTTTCATAGTCTAAGGATTTTACCACATTTTTAAAAGAAGGGGAAGGATTTTGTGCTGATTATTTCAGAAGTTCGAGACAGAGCAAAGAGTTAGACGGAGCACTCCCAGAAACAATATTCTAACACGGATAAAAACCCAGATTTTCTTTGTATGTGCCGCAGCATTCCCAGTAAAACCAAATGAGGCAGAAAAACCACATTTCAATCCAGAGCTTTCAACAATACCATCTCGTCTGCCTCTCCACTTCCTCATTCAAAACTGCCTTTGATTCCTCCGCCCTCTCAGACCGATGCTCCGTCTGTGTGTGGCGGCGAACGGAGTATCTCTTCAATATTTCCATTTGAGCAAAGAGCCTCTATCCTTGCGCCTACACACTCAGACGGACGGAGGCGTAAGACCGCGGCTCGTGTCACTGCGGCTGACAGCTCCTTCAAACCTGTCACTTAGAGATCGTATTTTTACAACGTTAATTATGCCGCGGTTTTTATACGTCCAGGTTTGATTGCTGTGCCGTTAATGTGACATAAACGACAGTCCGCGATAGATTTATGAAACGTTTTCAGACTAATTGTGCGTGGGATTTGAGTGTTTGGGGGGAAAAAAAGAACACTATTTATGTACTAATATTGAATTTATTATGTATATGTGAAGACTTTATACAGCAGGAGGTTGTACAGATGTTATTGGGAAGCAAAAATGTGATCAATCAGATTTAAATGTATTATTATAGATTACAGTGAAGTCCCGCTCACAGCTAAACTCGCTTTTAAAAATCCAAAGTCAGTTTAAGTTCAGTCATATTTAATTCAGACGCACAAAAGGTCCTTATGAAAGATTAAAAACAGACAAAAACAAACAACAGACAAACCTCATACATTCAAGTTTGAAGACAAGACGAAGTTTTCCACCAGCCCAGAAAGAAATCGCAAAAATTCAGCTTAATCTTTAGAAATATAGATCAATGAATAGATATAGTAGTAGTAGAATAGTTTTCATTAATAACTTATCGTACAGCTGATTATTTATTATACCTATTTTTAAATACATAAACAATTTTTATTTTTTTTACTTTTGGAACCAGGAAGTGGGGGAGCTTTTTCGCAGTTGCACCGGAGCGATGGAAAAATTATGTTGTCTTGTTTGTGTTTGTATGTGTCTTTCATGTTTTTCTTAATGAGAGTTATTTCGCTATCAATTCATTTCTATCCAGTTTTTACCTTTATTGTACCAGGAAAGTCCTACCGAGATTACATAATTCTGGGGAGTTCAAGGGAGTTCTATCTTCTTCTCCTTGACCCAGATAATGTTGTTGCTTGTTCTAAAATATGGCACTAAACCTCAGAATCCACTCTGTCTTGCATCTATTCAATTACATTCTCTCAAAACAATAAATTAAAAAAATCTAGTGTTGAGGCTTGTTTGGAGAACACATCCTCATGAGAAATTACCATAAAAATGTTAAGATGTTTCTGTTTCCTATTCAGCTCATGTTTAAGGAGAGGCTCCGTTTGTCACGATTAGGAAATTACATAGTTTTAAAGTACAACATCTGGAGTCGACTCAAAGGAATCGAAACGTGCGAGATTTGAATAATTATTAAATTACAGTATTTAACAGAATTACTGCACAACATCTACTGTCTATATTCAACCTGGCACTACTTCAGAGATAGAGAGACACAGAGAGAGACACAGACAGAGACACAGAGAGACACAGACAAAGACACAGACAGAGACAAAGAGAGACACAGACAGAGACACAGAGAGACACAGAGATACACAGACAGAGACACAGAGAGACACAGAGAGACACAGACAGAGACACAGACAGAGACAGAGACACAGAGATACACAGACAGAGACACAGACAGAGACAGAGAGAGACACAGACACAGACAGAGAGAGACACAGACAGAGACACAGAGAGACACAGACAGAGACACAGACAGAGATAGAGAGAGACAAAGACACAGACAGAGACACAGAGAGACACAGACAGAGATTGAGAGAGACACAGACAGAGACACACAGACACACAGACAGAGATAGAGAGAAACACACAGAGAGACACAGACAGAGACACAGAGAGACGCAGAGAGACACAGACAGACGCAGAGAGACAGAGACACAGAGAGAGAGACACAAAGACACAGAGAGACACAGACAGAGACACAAAGAGAGAGACAGACAGAGAGACAGACAAAGACACAGACAGAGACAGAGAGAGACACAGACAGAGACACAGACAGAGAGACACAGAGACAGACAAGACAGACAGATAGAAAGATACTTTATAAATCCCCGTGGGATAAATTCCAATCCAATCAAATTCACTTCATTCTAAAAGTAGATAACAATAGTAATAAAATTCAACAGCACGTTATGTCACAGCAGCAGAGGTGGAAACACAAAAACACAAATGGCTTTTTAAAAACTAACAAATGCCGAGGGGGAAACAGCTACACCTTCACAACAGACACTGAGTACAATCGACAAGAACGCTCCCAAATAGTTCCAAACCCGGTCTTGAGTAAACCCTGGTCTGAACCTGTCCACACCTGGTCCAATGTTTACCAAAGACACGCCTTCTGCAGCCAAACTGAATTCCTCTGAGCTCAAATAAAGACCGGCTTTGTGTCCCACTGATTTAAGTTCAGATTTGAACTGGAGTTTTAAAAAGACGGTTTGGTTTTGTAGCTTTAAGTGCGAGTGAGAAACGATTTAGATTTAAGTAAGATTTGTGAAGGATTTGTGAAGGAGAGGGGAAAGTTGGGAGGGGTCCAATGGATTATGGACCATGAATCCACTTTGTTTATATATATATATACATTTTATAAAACATGTTTCCAAAGTGATGCACAGACAACAGTAACACACTAGAATACACACAACTGCCAGCTTTAAGTAAAATCAATTCATATAAAATACAAACAACCGGATATACAGTGCCTTGCGAAAGTATTCGGCCCCCTTGAACCTTTCAACATTTTGCCACATTTCAGGCTTCAAACATAAAGATATAAAAATTATTTTTTTGCAAAGAACAACAAGTGGGACACAATCGTGAAGTGGAACAAAATGTATTGGATGATTTAAACTTTTTTAACAAATAAAAAACTGAAAAGTGGGGCGTGCAATATTATTTGGCCCCCTTGCGCTAATACTTTGTAGCGCCACCTTTTGCTGCAATTACAGCTGCAAGTCGCTTGGGGTATGTCTCTATCAGTTTTGCACATCGAGAGACTGGAATTCTTTCCCATTCTTCCTTGCAAAACAGCTCGAGCTCAGTGAGGTTGGATGGAGAGCGTTTGTGAACAGCAGTCTTCAGCTCTTTCCACAGATTCTCGATTGGATTCAGGTCTGGACTTTGACTTGGCCGTTCTAACACCTGGATACGTCTATTTGTGAACCATTCCATTGTAGATTTGGCTTTATGTTTTGGATCATTGTCCTGTTCGAAGATAAATCTCCGTCCCAGTCTCAGGTCTTTTGCAGACTCCAGCAGATTTTCTTCCAGAATGGTCCTGTATTTGGCTCCATCCATCTTCCCATCAATTTTAGCCATCTTCCTTGTCCCTGCTGAAGAAAAGCAGGCCCAAACCATGATGCTGCCACCACCATGTTTGACAGTGGGGATGGTGTGTTCAGGGTGATGAGCTGTGTTGCTTTTACGCCAAACATATCGTTTTGTATTGTGGCCAAAAAGTTTGACATGTGGAAGAGCACCTTCTTCCACATGTTTGGTGTGTCTCCCAGGTGGCTTGTGGCAAACTTTAAACGAGACTTTTTATGGATATCTTTGAGAAATGGCTTTCTTCTTGCCACTCTTCCATAAAGGCCCGATTTGTGCAGTGCACGACTGATTGTTGTCCTATGGACAGACTCTTCCACCTCAGCTGTAGTTATCTGCAGTTCATCCAGAGTGATCATGGGCCTCTTGTCTGCATCTCTGATCAGTCTTCTCCTTGTTTGAGATGAAAGTTTGGAGGGACGGCCGGGTCTTGGGAGATTTGCAGTGGTCTGATACTCCTTCCATTTCAATATAATTGCTTGCACAGTGCTCCTTGAGATGTTTAAAGCTTGGGAAATCTTTTTGTATCCAAATCCGGCTTTAAACTTCTCCACAACAGTAT